ACATTCTAGGCTTAAGGAAATAACGTGTGTTAATAGAAGTATAAAATAACATGCATGGTATGGTGGGGAACTGTAAGATAGCTGGCATTTCCGGAGCAAGGCCATTTTATTTTAGTATAGTTAAATACACACACACACACACACTCTAAACCTCTTCTTTGCTTAAACAGTTTGGGACTGAGCAAGCATGTGGTGCTGAGGCTAATCAGTCCAGGTCTAATTGGAGGGCAAAATGAGAAGGGGAAAATTTTTTTCTCATCAACTTGAAAATTGTGAATAAAAATGGATGTAAGAATTAAATTTAGGGAAACGGCTTTTCACTACATAGCAGATACCTCTTGCTTCTTTCAGTGATAAAAATTAAATGTGGTAGTCACTTTCAAATTTTTGAAGCTTTATTTGATAAAGACCTGAAAGGTACTTCAGCAGGGACGGGGTTTCTATCTGGATGAGGGGCAAACTGAAACAAAGTTGATGTACCTAATCAGCAACCGCTTGGATGAAATGTATTCATACACAATCACCAAGCCCCATCCTGGAAGCCAGTCATTTCAGAGCATGTTTTTTCAGGATGTCGGTTTGTTTTAATAGTAGGTTGCTATCCCCCAAACTACCATATTCTTGGTTTTCTTTTTGTTTTTCCTTTTTTCAAGTTTGCAAAAAGCAATAACTTAAGCCACAAGAAAAAACCCACAAAAATGCTTTTCACCAATTACATGTGATTTGAACTAGAATAACCTAAAATTTTTAAAAAAGACTTCATTAGAATAAAAAAACTTTTAAAAGTAGAATCCATTAGAATCTCACGTTGTCATTCTATGCTCCTGCAGTTAAAGACTATGTCATTATTTCCATTATACTTACCTCCTAATTTTCAGGGCTTATTAGCCCGGCTGTAAAAACTTGCTCCAGTTGAAATTTGGCAAGCTGACAAGGCTGCGTGCCAGAAGTAATTTACTATCCAGTGTGGTTTGCAAAGTAAAAGAAGCTATATATAATAGAAAAAGAAATGAAAAGTTCCTGGTTCCAAATATTTTAATGTGTGTAATGTGTGTCACCTCAAACTTTTCAGCTTTTGTTGCTAGCAATGTGAGATAACATGAAAGGTTTGAAAAGTACAGATGCTTTGCATTCACATCAAACTGAGGGCTCCGATGTTCTTAGGCATCAAAGAGCAGTCTGGGTCTATCACTTCTGTTTGACTTTGAAGTCTCCCAGAGCTCTGTGTGGGAGAAGCGGGCAGAAGAGTTGGAACAAGGTAGGGGGAGGGGATTCCAGGTGTGTAATCTCTCATTATCACTGAAATTAGGTACTTCTCTTTACCTAATAATGATGATAATAATAACAATAACAATAATAATAATGGGATAAAAAGGGAGCATTTCTTTGCTGTTTTTAAGCATTGAGCTGTTCATGAACTTAATCTTTAGATGTGACAATGAATATCCTAAGGAAATGTTCAAGTTTATTATGAAGTTTACTTGTAAGTACTTTGGGGACAAGAATAGATGTTTTAACTTGATTTGCAAATATCTCACTACTGTTCATCTGTCAGAGTCCTTAAGAGATTGTCTTGGGACCCTAACTGAGACCCCCTCTTTTCTGTTTTCCAAACTGGCTCATAAGCACTGCAATGGCACCAAGTGTTTCTCCAACATGGGGTGAGCAGCATACACCTTTCTGGGATTACTTTTACTTGACAACCTGGAAAAAAGAATCACAAAAATTTATATTAAAATGAATACAAGTGGCTCCTGGCTGGCTCAGTCAGTAGAGCATATAACTCTCCATCTCAGGGTTGTGAGTTCGAGCCCCATGTTGGGTATAGAGATTACTTAAAAAAATAAAATCTTAAAAAAAAGAAACTGTAAACCAAAAAAATTTAAAAAATTAAAATTAAATCTAATATATTGTGGGCTAGAATGTAAAATTTGTATGAACTCTTTTGCAGAGGGAGAAAGCTTTGGTCACTTGTGTTTCAATATTTTGACCCTGCCACATATAAAAATCATAGTTGAAGCTCTTGAAGAGAATGATATCCTCAAAGAGAGGGTCTGGTCATTAATGTTTTCTTTTAAAGTGTAACTTTCATAAGGTGTACAAAAAATTTATTTGAGAGAGAGAGAGAGAGAGCACGAGCTGGGGGAGAGGCAGAGGGAGAGGGAGATAAGCAGACTCACTGCTGAGCAGGGAGCCCAACATGGGGCTCGATCCCAGAACCCTGGGATCATGACCTGAGAGCCAAAGACAGACGCTTAACCAACTGAGCCACACAGGTGCCCCCATAAAGTGCACAAATCTTAAATGCATACCTCAATGGATGGATTTCTACATATGCATACACCCATACATATGTATAATGACCACCCAGATCAACTAAGTATAGAACATTTCCAACTTTCAGAGGGCTCCCTGGTACCTCCTACCAGGTAGTACATGTTTACCAATCTGAGTTTTGAAGATCAAATAAAAGACTAAAAGAAATACCAAGTTTTCTGTGGTACACCTTAGAGCTCCCGACTCAAGAGCACTTTTTCTCTGGACCTCCGGTTCCTTAACTAGGTGTGCTCATCTAAGGATTCTGAGACTCAGTGGGCATTATTCAAACACAGTATCTTCTGCCATATTGGGCTTTCTCTAGCAGGTGTTTTTTTTTTTTTTTTTTCCCTCTTCAAGAGCTCCTTGAGTTGATATTTTAAAATATTTGTGATCAGAGTAGGTGAGTTAATATATAAGGAACTTAGAACAGTGCACATAGTAGCTCAGCATCTAGAAGCCCTAGATAAGAGATAGCTATTATACTGATATTCAGAGGAAACAAAAGAAGGCGTTGCCATTATTATTTATCTATTCAAGATTTTATTTCTGAGAGCGCACGTGTGCACGCTCACACACAAGGGGGGCAGGGGTGCTGAGAGAAGGGGAGAGAGTGAGAAGCAGACTCCCCACTGAGCAGGAAGCCTGATGCCGGGCTCCATCTCGAGATCTAGAGATCATGACCTGGGAGATGAAGACAGGTGCTTCACTGACTGAGCCACACAGGTGCCCCTGCCATTAGTATTATAATAATTCTTAGAGCAAGATAAACATAGATGCGAAATTTGAAAATAAGTGAGGAGAGTATTTATAGTTGCATTGATTTAAAAATCATAGTTAGCGGGCGGGCGCCTGGGTGGCTCAGTTGGTTAAGCGACTGCCTTCGGCTCAGGTCATGGTCCTGGAGTCCCGGGATTGAGTCCCGCATCGGGCTCCCTGCTCGGCAGGGAGTCTGCTTCTCCCTCTGACCCTCCTCCCTCTCATGCTCTCTGTCTCTCATTCTCCGTCTCGCAAATAAATAAAATCTAAAAAAAAAAAATAAATAAATAAAAATAAAAATCATAGTTAGCTATCAACTTTGCCTTGAAATGAAAGATTAAAATCTCTCAGCTTGCTGAGCCCCTTGGACCTGAAGAAATTCAGCAAGTGCCTTTTGTTATTCTGTTATGCATTTATTTATTGAGTGCTTATTATTTTCTAGGCACTGTTCTAAGCTCTCAGATATCTAGTGAACAAAACAAATATTCCCTACCTGTTTGGAACTTACTATCTAGTAGTATCCCTACTTTTACTGTTAACACAGGCTGGGGATTTTCTTTACAAAGAAATTTCATCTTTGTTTTACATCCATGAGTTTCTTCCCCTCTCTCATGTCTTACAGCTGAGGGATCAAGAAATGAAGCTGAAGCCAACCTTTGCTTCAATTCTGAGACCAGTGGGGTAAAATGTGAAAGGGGAAAAAAAAAAAAAGGAAAGGCAGAGAGGTGGAACATGGTTAATTGCTAAACTTAGTCCCCTTTCATAAATCACAAGGTGCTAATGCCAATGTTGAAATAAACAGGTCTAGCAAGAACTCCTGCTTTGGTTTTTTATCATCTTCCAGAACTTAAAAAGAATTCAGCCATGAAGTTATTATTTTAGGTTTAGTAATTATACCAACAATGTCGCTTCCAAGCTGAGTTGTCTGATGATTCCTTCAGAAATGCTAACTTGCGGGCGCCTGGGTGGCTCAGTTGGTTAAGCGACTGCCTTCGGCTCAGGTCATGATCCTCGAGTCCCTGGATCGAGTTCTGCATCGGGCTCCCTGCTCAGCAAGGAACTTGCTTCTCCCTCTGACCCTCCCCCCTCTCATGTGCTCTCTCTCGTTCTCTCTGTCTCAAATAAAAAAAAAAAAAAAAAAAGAAATGCTAACTTGCTTGAGCAATGGTTTAAGGAGGGTCTATACCGTACTCATTTATTTCGGTAACTCCCAAACTTTTCAATACCAAGCTCCCCTCTCCTAAAAAATATATACTTTCTGATAGCCACCCAGGGCCATGTGTTTTATTAAACGATCTTGTCTACAAAGCAGAATAATTATTTAAATAATGAAAAGGCCTTCCCATTTAAAAATTAATCGGGCAATTAGAGATTCTAATTGGCACGTGAAAAACCGGTGTTGTCACACTGGCTTACTAAGTCTAGTCGAAAGCAAAGCCATAGTATTAATGGACAGTCCGGCCAGTTTCAGCGTCCTTTACGATTTTCATTACTGACATTTTCAAATGTTTGCTATTGGAAAACGAGGACATAGGACGGCATCACAATAAAAGGAGACAATATTCCACAGAAAGCGCAGAGCACGTCTCTCTCAGGTAACCCCTCTAGACCCAGGGAGGTGCTTTCTCGGATCCCCGCCTTCGTCTAGCCTAGCGCACGTTTAGCACCGCCCCCACGCCGGCTCCGCCCCGCCCCCACGCCGGCTCCGCCCCGCCCCCACGCCGGCTCCGCCCCGCCCCCACGCCGGCTCCGCCCCGCCCCCACGCCGGCTCCGCCCCTCCACTCCCGTCCACGTGAGTAATCCTGCGTCGACCGGGTCCTCGCGGCAATCCCACAATCGGCCACAGAGAAGTGAAAGCCGCCGCGAGGGCCAGAGGGCCTTCTCCAGCGACGGAGGCTGTGGCGGCGGCGGAAGCGGAAAAGGCGGGACCTAGGGCGCACGTTGCGTCAGCACGTGCGAGCGCTAGGGCTGGGTCTCCGGAATAGAAGGTGGGCTCTTCCTGCGCTGGTTGGCGGTTGAGAGGTTCGTTGGTGGGTTGTAGAGTTGTGACCTCATGGCGGAGATAATTCAGGAACGCATAGAAGATCGACTCCCCGAATTGGAACAGCTGGAGCGCATTGGACTGTTCAGTCATGCGGAGATTAAGTGAGAGAGAGCTGAGGAAGTGGAGGGGCTGGGGCGGGCTGAGGGGAGGGGAGGGAGTCTGGCGGGGGCAGGGATGCGAGGGGCACTTAATTGGGCTTATTTTTCTTAATCTGGCAGAAGCCCATTTTCATATTTTGTTGATGCCCAGAATTTCTCCTTCGATGCAAGGTGGTCTGTCCACTCACCCACCAAACGTCTGACAGCTCTTCATGGAACCAGTTCTTAGGGCTATAAAGGTGATAAAGCTAGGATGCCTACCCATCAGGAGCTACCTGCCTTGTGTGTGCTGGGGGAGACAAATTAAACATTTTGCTTACGGTGCAGCGTACTGTACGTTGATTGTACTAGAGTGTACTGCCCTAGAGATGCAAAGAGTGCTGTTGGAGCCCAGGAGGAGTGGTTAAATCTTTCTAATAAGACTTGAAGATGGGGACTATTTAATTCAATTTCGTGTTCTACCCCAGGGCTTGGCCAACAACGTCTGGCACATGGTTGGCATTCAGTAATTTGTTAGAATTAAGTTGAATATTTTTTAATGGTTTTCTGCATTTTACAATGGTTGTGAATGTAGTGATGTGACTATGAGAGCCTTAAACATTTGATAGTGAAATGGAACATAGCAATGTGGAGTCTTAGTGAGTGTTCAATAAATGTCATTATTATTATTATTTTTTGAGATTTTATTTATTTATTTGACAGAGCACAAGCAGGGGAAGCAGCAGGCAGAGAGAGAGGGAGAAGCAGGCGCCTACTGAGGAAGGAGCCCAATGCAGGGCTCGATCCCAGGACTCTGGGATCATGACCTGAGTAGAAGGCAGATGCTTAACCGAGTGAGCCACCCAGGCACCCCTGTTATTTTATTATTACTGTTAACTAAAGATAGTTATTAGTCTTGCACATCTTGCGTTAAATTCTTCTAATATACACATGTTGTGTTCTGTCTAGCTAAATACAGTGAATCTCTTCCTGTGAGTTCTTTGTAGTGTTAATAAACCTTCCTAGGTAGAAATAGTAGGGACAATCGAGGTCTTTTTTTTTTTTTTAGTCTGCATGTTGAAAACTCAGAAGTAAGAGGAGTTTAGAAAAGATACTTGATTATTATTAAAACCTAAGTGACCAGAATTTGGAGGAAAGTAAATCTTTACTAGTATCACATAAAAATACTGTAAAGTACTTAACATTATTTGCTTTGGTGGTGGGAATGTCAGTGGTCCTGGCAGTCTATTAAGATGATTTTCATGGAAGTTTTAAAATACATCCTGATGCCCCTAAGCACACAGAAGTAATCACATAAGAGAATACTTGCTTATGAAGGATAATTATTTGGGAATTTCAGGTTTTGGCAAATGGGTTTTAAATATATTAAAAATAAACTTAAGAAACCCCCGAAGTTCTTTAACTTATGCTCTTTTCAACTGTTACATCTTAAATGGCTTTCTCCTCAGGGCCATCATTAAAAAGGCTTCGGATCTGGAATATAGAATACAGCGAAGAACTCTTTTTAAGGAAGACTTTATCAATTATGTTCAAGTAAGTGTATAAGTTCATTACATTTTAATCCCTTCACAAATTTTAAATCAGTTCTAGAATGGTGAGCTTGATTCAGATTTCTATAAAATTCTAGAATTGACAATTAAATGGTAATTTTTGACCAGGAATAAAGGTGATTTAGGAATAACTATAGCTAAGGCTATAGTCCTTGGCAAACTGAACTTTTTTTTTTTTCTTTTATAGTGTTAGTAAATCAGGTACTGCCAAATATATTGTGTATCAGGATGTCAACAAGAGAATTGACTTACTATTTCTTGTGGGTTGGGGGGAGGAGAGTGGGTTTGACGACAATAGATGGTTGGAAAGTTAATATTTATGTGTCTGTAAGTCTGCTACCTTAGAAAGAGGTATGCTGCAAATTCTTCAGTACTATAAATAGATGGAGGATTTGAGTGAATATAAAGTATATATGCTGGACCAATTTTCAGATGGAGAATAGCTAATATGTTGGATGATAAACTCTAGCTTCAGAACCCAGTAGTAAGATGAAATGTTACAATACTGAAGATTCTGACCTTAGATTTAACAAAACAACAGGTGAACAAGTGCGACCTGGCTATGAATCCTATATGTGGAAGAGGTTTGAGAGCTCATAGTAGTTTGCTAAATCAAAATGAGCCAAGAGCATATTACATCAAAAAATATAATCTCTATGTCAACTAAACTTCAGTAATAAGTTTTAGTTTTTTTTTAAGATTTTATTTATTTGACAGAGACACAGCGAGAGAGGGAACACAAGCAGGGGGAGTGGGAGAGGGAGAAGCAGGCTTCCTGCAGAGCAGGGAGCCTGATGTGGGGCTCCATCCCAGGACCCTGGGACCATGACCTGAGCTGAAGACAGATGCTTAGTGACTGAGCCACCCAGGCGCCCCCAGTAAAAAGGAAAAAGGGAAAGAATAATCTAATTGACTCTATAACAAAAGTAGAGTGTTGGGCAAGTTAGCTGAGGACATTGCAAACAGTGGGCATTGAGAAGATGTTAGTTTGAAAAAAAGTGTTTTGCACTTATCAGACCATGCCTAGAGCATTGTGTTAGGCTTGAGACTACATTTTTTTTTTTTTTTTTTAAGATTTATTTGTTAGAGGGAGAGCATGAGTGTGGGGAGGGGCAGAGGGAGAGGGAAGTAATTTTTTTTTTTTTAAGATTTTACTTATTTGTTTGACAGAGAGACACAGTGGGAGAGGGACCACAAGCAGGGGGAGTGGGAGAGGGAGAAGCAGGCTTCCCGCTGAGCAGGGAGCCTGATGTGGGGCTTGATCCCAGGACCCTGGGAATATGACCTTAGCCAAAGGCAGATGCTTAGTGACTGAGCCACCCAGATGCCCCGAGAGGGAGAGAATCTTAAGCACACTTCCCCCTGAGTGTGGAGCCCAATATGGGGCTCGATCTCATGACCCTGAGATCATGACCTGAGCTGAAATCAAGAGTCGGACGCTTAACTGATTGAGCCACTCAGGGGCCCTGAGACTACATTTTAAGAACTTTTTTTTTTTTTAAGATTTATTTATTTATTTGAAAGAGATAGAGAGAGCACGGGGGTGGTGGGGAGAGGCAGAGGGAGAGGGAGGGAGTCCCAAGCAGACTCTGTGCTGAGCCCAACCCCACAACCCTGGGATATTGACCCGACCTGAAACTAAGAGGCGGACACTTAACTGACTGCACTTCCCAGGTGCCCCTATTCTTTTTTTTCAAATTTATTTATTTAAATAATCTCTACACCCAACGTGGGGCTGAAACTCATGACCCTGAGATCAAGAGTCATGTGCTCTTCTGACTGAACCAGTGGGAATCTTTTAATTTAAGTGTTATGATTTTGATAACATGCATTTTTTGTATCTAAGATGTTTATAACCATGGTAATGCATGGATTTATGAGTTTTGCAGATATAAGGTGAATTTTCAGTGACTGTTAAGACATTTACTACAAATTATGCTTGATAGCAGGTTATCTTGTTTTATATTCTTTTTTATTTTTAATTAAGCTGTCTGCCCAATGTGGGGCTTGAACTCATTACCTGGAGATCAAGAATTGCATGCTGTACTGACTGAGCCAGCTAGCTGCCTCAATCTTGTTTTATTTATTTATTTGTTTTTTAATTTTTTTTAGAGAGTGAGTGAGAGAGCGAGAGCATCCAACCGGAGGATGGGGGGAGTACGGGGAGAAGGAGACAATCTTACGCAGGCTCCACACCCAGTGCAGAGCCTGATGTGGGGCTCAGTCTCATGATCCTGAGATCATGACCTGAGCTGAAATCAGGAGTCAGTTGTTTATTTATTTTTTAAAAGATTTTATTTATTTGACAGAGAGAGACACAGCGAGAGAGGGAACACAAGCAGGGGGAGTGGGAGAGGGAGAAGCAGGCTTCTCGCTGAGCAGAGAGCCCAATGTGGGGCTCGATCCCAGGACCCTGGGATCATGACCCGAGCTGAAGGCAGGTGCTTAACGACTGAGCCACCCAGGTGCTGCCACCCCCAATCTTGTTTTATGTTCTTGATTTTTATTTATTTTATGATTTTAGCTAAATGTATTTCCTGTATTTAAAAGGTTATAAATGTTAATTGTTTTCTCTTTTTTTGTATGTTTTTTTTCCATAGTATGAAATTAATCTTTTGGAGTTGATTCAGAGAAGGAGAACTGTAAGTAGATATTCTGGAAGTTGGAAAAATTTAAATATTTTATTTATTTGAGAGTGAAAGAGTGCGAGAGAGAATGAGCAGGGAGAGCGACAGAGGGAGAGGGAGAAGCAGACTCCCCACTGAGCAGGGAGCCCGATGTGGGGCTCGATCCCAGGATGCCAGGATCATGACCTGAGCCGAAGGCAGACGCTTAACGATTGAGCCACCCAGGCACCCCTGGAAGCTGGAAAAATTTAGAATTAAGCAGCGTGGCTCTGTAGCTAGAACTTCGGTTTGGGAAGCAGTTGGTACTGATAAATTGTGTGGTGATGTGCTCATAATGGATATTTGTAAGTATTTGTTTTCTTTATCACCAGTACTGTTTAAGATTAAGAATATTGCTGTGGATAAATGTGATTAAATTGAGGCTTTGTGTATGTCCTTTCTTAGCGCATCGGCTATTCATTTAAGAAGGATGAGATTGAGAATTCCATTGTACACCGGGTACAAGGTGTCTTCCGACGAGCTTCAGCAAAATGGAAAGTAAGTGATCAGAACATCTTTAATTATAAGAGATGTGAAGATATGTATTTTATATACTGTGATTTCAGTATTCAAATGCATTATTTATACTTGGGTGTGTCAGTATTTAACCGAATTATAATATCATTGTTTGAAACCACTTACCAAACCATTAAGAAAATTGGTCTCATTACCTCACCATTATTCTTTGAGGATGGTACTGAAAATGGTAGATTTGATACGTAATTAAGGATTAGAAATTTGGGATTTGTTTGGATAAATCTCTAAGTGAGGTACACCAAAGACTCGGAGATAGAAGATGAATGGTTAGAGTAGGGGCAGGACCTCACTCACTTGATATTCTTCAAGTGGTCTCTGGGACTGGGATATAGTATATAAAGAATACTTTGGATCTTGGGAATGACAAATTTTGGGTTACTACCTCTGATTGAGACCATTTAAGAGCTGCATTGAACACACTGGGTAGACAACACATTTTGTCTTGGTGCATGGTAGGTGGGAGTGGTGACCAGATGGAGTTACCATGTTTAAGAGATCTAGGGCCTCAGTGAGGAAAAGCCTAATAGGCTGAGCAATGTGTTACCACATTGGCCTTTCTGAAATTTACCTCTGTTTCCAAAAAAAAAAAAAAAAAAATTAGTGCAAAATTGTATTATATATAAATTTAAAATTCACGCAGCTCACTACATTGCTTTTCTTGCAGGATGATGTTCAACTTTGGCTATCCTATATAGTCTTTTGTAAGAAATGGGTGAGTATTGGGCAGCTGTGTCTTGCTTCCTTATTCCTTCTTTCAGTTAGTCTGCCTTTTAAGTCCCACAGTTGGTTACTGAATTCCCCATGTTTTCTCCAAAGTTGTAGGGTTAGCAAGTGGGAAAAGAACCCAAGAAGGCTGAACTTCAGTATAATCTTTGTATATCTGAATGACTATGTAAATGGTTTCTTAGCCAGAAAATGATCTTTATGTGTGTATTTCTTCAGTAAAGTTGAAAATTTTTAGATATTTAGGATGTTTACATGTAGTGGTTTAGGTAGAAGAAAACCATGAATGTATCTGTATTTATACGTCCCTACAGCAGGAGATCTTGCCCCATTGGATTTTAAGTTAGTAAGGAAACAGTACCAGATCATTTAGAGATTAGTAACAATGATTTCACTGGATAGGAAGTAGAATTACTTTTTCTCTTTTACAGGCTACCAAAGCTCAACTTAGCAAGGTATTTTCTGCCATGTTGGCCATTCATTCAAACAAACCAGGTATGGTGAGATCCTCGTCAGTTTTTCTTCTACCTTTTATTTTATTTTATTTTTTAAGATTTTATTTATTTATTTGACAGAGAGATAGTGAGAGCAGGAACACAAGCAGAGGGAGTGGGAGAGGGAGTAACAGGCTTCCCGCTGAGCAGGGAGCCCGATGCGGGGCTCGATCCCAGGACCCTGGGATCACGACCTGAGCCAAAGGCAGACGCCTAACGACTGAGCCACCCAGGCGCCCCCTCTTCTACCTTTTATGTAGACTCAAGCTATTTTGGAATTTACTTTGCTTAATAAACTTACAATATCATTTTGAGAACTTGAGCATAGGTACTTGGCCTTAACACTTTTGGTTTCCAAATAGCTGCCTCTTAGTTCATCCCTGCATATTGTGTAACCCCTTATTGCGTCAGTATTGTATTTGTGGGTAAGAAGGACTAAGTTTCTTCTTACTTATTTGTTTGTTTTTAAAAGTATTTTATTTATTATTTTTTTAAGTATATTATATTATTTTATTTTTTTAAAGATTTTATGTATTTATCTGACAGAGAGAGACACAGTGGGAGAAGGAACACAAGCAGGGGGAGTGGGAGAGGGAGAAGGAGGCTTCCCGCCGAGCAGGGAGCCTGATGCGGGGCTCGATCCCAGGACTCTGGGATCATGACTTGAGCCGAAGGCAGACGCTTAAAGACTGAGCCACCCAGGCGCCCCTTATTTTTTGTTTATTTTTAAAAAATATTTTATTTATTTATTTGGCAGAGACACAGAGAGAGAGGGAACACAAGCAGGGAGAGTGGGAGAGGGAGAAGCAGGCTTCCTACCAAGCTGGGAGCCCGATGCGGGGCTCGATCCCAGGACCCTGGGATCATGACCTGAGCCGAAGGCAGACGCTTAACGACTGAGCCACCCAGGCGCCC